AGCTATGGACAACCGGATAACTAGCTATTATTATTTTCCTTCTTTATTTCTCACACCTCCTATGCACAAAACACACCTGAAGTATGACACAAAACCCATGTAAAGTTAATCAGAGATACAGGGGGCTGCATGATAAATGACCAGCAGGACATGAGAGAATCTGGGATTAGGTGAAAAGGCTTGTCTTGAGGGCAGCCTTATTGCTAGGAGAGGCAAAAAGAATTTTTGCACTCGAAGAGTATACATTTCCCTAAAGCAGGTTTCTCTAACAAAGATATGAAACCATGAACGTAAAATCAGGTACAAGGCCTTGGAAGCGGCCTAAGGCTTAAGTGTGATGAAAAATCCACCCCTGGTTGGAACTAACAGCTTATGAGAAAGGGAAAAAAGGTGATGAGAGGGCGATAATGTTTGCCTAAATGGACCAAAATGAGAGTCCCATAAGAAAAAAATAGTATTACCTCATTTGGCTATTTTTACATCTGTACCGATTGAGACTCAGATGTCACACTGCTAGGAACAGGCTAGGGTCCTTAGATGTGCGGCCACTGGGTAGGGCACAGAGAACACAAAGGCAAAACACATTGCTGCTGTGCGGCCCCTGTGGCTCAGTGGATAGGGAGCCAGCCTTATATACCGAATGAGTGGCGAGTTCGAACCAGGCCTTGGCCAAACTGCAACAAAAAAAAGCCAGGGGTTGTGGCGGGTGCCTGTAGCCCCAGCTACTCAGGAGGCTGAGGCATGAGAATCACCTAAGCCCAGGAGTTGGAGGTTGCTGTGAGTCATGGCACTCTACCGAGGGCGACAAAGTGAGACTCTGTCTCAAAAACAAAAACACTGCTGACTTTGAAAGAAAAGGCTTCCTTAGTAAGGAGTGTGAATTACTCCAGAAGGTAATAAAACTCAAATCCAGTCCTGAATGCCTTTTAGCCTTTAAGAGTCTGGCCATTGGAGACTTTGGTATTGCGGGTTCTTCAAGAGCCAACGAACTTCTGAAAAGCAGAGGCAGGAAGCTCCCCCCAAAGAGGTTTTCTCTAGGGGAGTTAAACAAGTCGCTTGTATGGGTCTGTGTTCGCTCCCGCTGCCTGGGAGGGCTCCGGTTTTCCCAGCTCACTTTAGATGACCGCTCGTCCTACTGGGCGCAGAGCCGGCAGGCAGGCAGCCCCAGAGGATTTCATCTCGTCCACACCCGTGTGCAGTTGTTCCCAGGTCTGAAACCAAGGCGCAAAATGGTCGCCTCGTCTCTTGCAGTGCTGCGAGCGTCCGGACTGTGCCGAAGGGGCCTGAAAAGTTGGGCGCTGTGGCTGGGGACTCCTCCGCTGAGACCACG